ATGATGCGATGCGATGGTGTGATGACGCATCGCAGGATGAAGCATTTCAGTATGTCTTCGCCATCCAACAAGGTGCGTTCATATACGGAGGGCGACGCCAACGCCCTGCGTAATGCCGCGGCAATGCGGCGAATGGGCGGCTCACTGCGCCTTTGCTTTTTTCTTGGCGGGCTTGGCGGGCGTGGCGTCGGACAATGCAACTTTCCTTGCAAGCGCCTTTGCTGTGTCCTCGGACATGCGCAACCTGTCGCCGCTCTTGAGCTCGACCGTGTTTTTGAGGATGGGAACCTTAATGCCGTTCGTGGCGGTCACAAATGTCACAGCCAAGTTTGGCTTCTCCTTCGCGGTGCACACGCCGACCAACCAGAAAGGCACCCCGTACTGATCTGGCACGCGCTTCAGACCACCAATGCCAGTCCCACCCTCTTCACGCTTGAGCCTGAGCCCGCCAACGGCCATCAACGCGACGTTGTAATCGGTATGCTTGGCAGGGTCGGTATACTTCCTAAGGCAAACGTTGCCAATATTGATCTCATCCGTCGCCTTCTTGAGCGATATGGTTGTCGTCAACGGATCAAGTCCGATGGCGTCCTTCTTGAACTCCTTCTTCACTGACACCGCTTTATATTTGATTGGCGAATGAATCGCCGTGATATGCTTGAGGCAAGCACTATGTTGTGAATAGACTTCGTCGAGTGCAATCTTGATCCGGGCTTCCTCGACCCCCAGTGGTAGTCCATGCAATTCAATGGGCTGAACTGGTCGAACTGGTCGATTACCTCTTTCTTGATGTCGTATATTGCGAACTTGTTTCGCATGAAGTCCTCGGCATCTATGGTGCGCTCTACGTCTCCCGTCTGCATCTTCACATTCTGCCCATCAATCGACTTGATCTCATACACAGACTCATCGCCCTCCTGGCGGTTGTACACCGTCACGCCCACCTTGAAACCTTTGACAGCCAACGTTTCGGACACGTTCACCCACTCGCCACGCTGGTCAAAGGTCTTGACACCTGTCGAGGAGACGCTGCTAGCACACTGTGGTGCATGCGCGACGGCCTTGGCCTTCCATGGGCAGCGAACGTTGTTATTGCCAGTGCTGGCAGCCATAGCTTTCCAAGCGTCAACTGCGATGTCGGTGATCTGTTTGTATACCCCGCGGCTCTCGTCGGGCTTGTTGAAGACGAAGTGGGCAACTCGAACATCGGCGAGCCCGACTATGTTGGACCAGCGAGCGCTCGATGGATCGATTTCGAAGTCAATCGCAAGCTTGCGAATCTTCTGCAGCAGCTCATCGCCCTGTAACGCGATCTGCGCCTTGCGTTCGTTCTGCAACACATTGACGCCCGAGAGCTTCAGTAGCGTCTGTTCGTCGCCCTTCCTATACTTGTCGCTCGGGCCATGCATAGCCTTGATGCACGCGAGCTTGAATAGCACCCCCGACCCCTCCTTCGCGATCTTGCAAGTCGCGACGGCTGCCGCGACATCTGACTTTACTATCGTCGCTCTGGCCAGGTGCCTGTTGAAGTCCCTTAGCTCGTGAAGAAACACTGGATTGTCCAGTCCGCCTGACATCTCCTTCACATAGTCCACCATGTGGTCTATCTCATGCTTGAAGACTGCGCCCCTGCCCGCCTGGCGCCTGACCTTATCCCATGGGAACGTCTCATTCGGATTCAGCTCTAATTTCTGCTTCAGGCTCTTCGCGTACTGCGCAATCTTGAGCATGATTTCCAGCCTGCTCTCGCACTTGGCAGCGGCCTGCCCTGCGTTGCCCGCTTCTTGCACAAGGTCTGGAACGAAAGGGAACGCCTCGATAAACTGCCATTTGAAGATGTCCCATGTGGTACCGTTTACAGCCGCATCAGCATAAGTTGGTTGGAATTGCTGGAGGCGTTGCAACGATATCTTCCCGTCCTGGCTTATGTCGCTGAACCGCTCTGGGTTGGTCTCGGGCACGTTCGTGCCATGTACGATGCATCGCAAACCTTGCGATGTATGACCGCATGTGTAACTCTGATATTTACCATCACCATCATCGTAGAACGGCAGCTGTCCTGCGCTATCGGCCATTATCTTGTCGTTAAACCCTTTGATCTTGAGGTACTCAGCAGTGCCCACTGGGGGCACCTCGGCACACGTAGGCATCAACAGATGCTCGTGCCTGAACCCATTTCCCAATATTTTAATGATCAAGTCAGTGACGTCACACGGCACGACGCCGTCGCCATATCTGTTGCATGGGCTCACGTACATATACTTACTGTTGATTTTCTCTGTCAGTAGCATACCATGTTGGCGAGCTATCGCCTTGACCTGTTCGTACAAATCCACCACCTCTGCTTTAGGCGAGTCGAACTTCCTCTCAATAATGTCCATTGCGTCCTTGCATTTGAGAATCTTAGCATCCGCTCCATGCGGCTGCATGTCTCAGATGGATGCAAGACGCAACTTGCAAATCGTGAGCACAAAATGATGCGCGCGAAATGCCCTGGAGCCCAAATGACAACGGACTCAACATGGCATGCCCAAAAAAACAACATGCAACTCAATTGTTGCAACACTACCTGCGGATTTGCATCGATTGCAATTGTGATCAGCGTAGATATGACATGCGAGAAGTCGCAATGATGAGTGCAACACTTGCAAAAATATTATCAAATTCTTCTTTTTTTGAAGAGTACACCCTGCAAAATATATGGTTATGTCGATATGGTGAGAACCATGTTGAAAAGTTAGCGGAGTTACTAACTTTTATAACTCGGGCTAACTCAGGGCTCCGACTTAGCAAACTTATAAGTGCGCCAACACATTATAACATGTTATAACCTGTTATAACCTACTTACAACATACTTATAACCTACTTATAACTATTGATAACTCTTATAACAGGTCAATTCCTTCAGGTGGTGCCTGTTGTGCCCCCGCACGGACGCAGTGGGATGGCGGCAAGATTGGGGGAACAAAACATGACATAAACATGAAACCTCAGAGGTCCGCGCGGATTTCTCGGATCGGCGCTGGGACCCCCTGGCGGCGCCTCCGGCGCCGCCCCTGGCGCGCTCCGCGCGCCAGGGAGGAGGGTCCAGCGCCGATCCGAGAAATCCGCGCGGACCTCAAAGTTCTTATGTTTATGTCACTTTTCGTTCCCCTAAAGATGGCCCAAGACCCAGGGCCGCCGCCGGTGGCGAGTGCGCGTGGCACGCGGAGGGCGGTGCACCACCGAGACGAACTGACGCGCCTTGCCTCTATACGACGCATCGGCTGCAATGCTGGCCGGCGGCCAGGATGGCGACTGCGTCCCGGCCGCGACGCCGTTGCGGCCGCCACACGCTCGTGTGGCGAGACGTGCCGCTTGACCCCTGCCCGGAGGGTTCCCAAATCGGGTGGGGCGAAAGGGGAGGATAGCAAACGGGGTGGGTGAGAATCGGCTCACGTAGCCGATTTTCCCGGCGCCTCCAGGCGCCGGAGGCGACTGTATCTATCAAGGAATGGGCCCCTCGGTGGGGCCGAAACCAGCTGCGTGCAGCAAATTTCGTAACCCCCCCTTTCCCAATCCCCCCCCTTGTGTCCGGCCCGACAAAAGGGGTTTTTTGGTGAGGGGGTTTTCCAGGAGGGGCCCCCCAGGGGCGTCGCACCTCCTGCTTCGACGAGGGCCCGAGGCCCCTGCCGTGGGGGGCCCTCTGGAGAACCCCCTCCCCAGAGGCCCCCTTTGGGGAACCCTCCGGCCTCCTGCCTGCCGCACGGGCCGCTCGTACAGTTGGGGCCCTGAAGAAGGAACCCTTTTCGTTGGGGAGGGGCTCCGCGTTCCTTTGGTGTTTCACAGCTTGCCTCAGGCTTTCCTTCTGTCTTCGGCAGGAAACCGAAGGTCAACTTCTGGAAAACAGGGGCCTCGTTCCTTATCTAGGGTTCCTTGGGTCAACGCCCCGACTGCACCGCGCCGCGGGCCGAGCATGCCACCGGGGGAGCGCAGGGAGGACCCAGACCCCCGACGTAATGATTTTTTCATTACGTCGACCCCAGAGTTCTCGACCCCTTCTCCAGGACCGGTTTGTCGTCCTGAGTCGTTTTTTGACGGTCCCGAGGCCCGGGGAGGGCCTCCAGAGGGCGAAAATGGCGAAAAACCTCCCGTCGTGATTTTTTCACGACGCGAGGAGGTCTGGGGAGGCCGCGGGGGGCAGGAAGCAGGGGGGGGGCACAGAGGCGGGGGCCGGGAGGGCGGAGGCGGGGAGGCCGCAGGTGCCCCTGCACGGCTGCTCCTCCCCGGCCCTCCCCCGCCGGGGTGCGTGCTGACCAGGGGGGTGTCGAGGCGACTCCAGGCCTCCCAGAAGGTCCAGGGCGGGCACCGCGAGGGCAGGGCAGCTGTATGGGTACCCTTTCCCCCTTCTGAGGGGCAGGAGGGCGGAGGGGCGGGGAGGGGGCCGAGAGCGTGTCCTCACAGCGGGGGGCCGCTGTGAACCTCAGGGGGGGGGGGTGATGCGACGGCGTCTGGCCGCAGAGGCTTTTGCGGCCGGGCTGGGCACCACGGCAGGGAGAGGCCACCTCCTGGCCTCGGCGACGAGGGCGTGCACGCCATGCCCAGGAAGGCACGGTGGTGGCGGCGGTGCGCAGGCACCGCACCCGAAGCAGACGACACCGCCCAACGATGCGGCGTCGAGACCACGCTGCGGCAGAACCGCGGGGGGCGCCCAGTCGGCGCCTGGCCCCCTCTGCGTGCCGCTGGCTCCTGGTGGGAGCAGCCGCGGCCGAGCGAGGGCGAGGCGAGCGAGGAGGAAGCAGCGACCGGGGGCCCCGAACGGTGTGGCGACTCGGGATTCGGGGCCAGTCGCGCGGTTCTGGGAATCGGGCCGCTCTCCGAGGACGTCTCCGGCACCTCGCGGGTGTTGGACCGCGCGGCGAGGTCTCTTGGGATTTCGAGGTTGCCGCGCGGTCCATCACCACACGAGCGCTTAGACTACGGGCGCGCGCTGACGGGGCTTCGGTCTGCCGTCTCCGGCCTCCAGCACGAGCTCGCGGTTGTCGCGCAGCGCCTCGGAGGCCCACCGCAGCGACATGCCCTCCTGCCTGACAGCCTCGAGGGCGACGTCGAAGTCCTGGGCAGGCAGGAGAAGAAGAAGCCCCCCCGCCAAGGATGGGCTGGGTTCAGGTTACTGTGAGGGCATCGGATAAAGAGATCTGGAAGCCAGTGGAACACCAACTGAGGCTTGGCCATGGATATCACCGCCGTCCTCATCTGATACACCTGCAGGGTCTGAAGCTTTCTAGGCGCATTCCTTATCGCACGACCCAACCGTAACCTTGTCCGCAGAAGCAAAGGTAGCATGATCAGAGGTGACCACTGCCGCGAGCAGAGGAAGCGTGAGTGACAACCCTGGCCAATATGACCTCTCTCACTGGAGTTAGGGGGCAGAGGATGGCGACGACGACGACGACGGAGGAAGGCGCAAAAAGTAAGATGAGGGCACACCTAAAGACACAGTGTCCGCACCCTCTGGCGCACGATATCATCACACAACTCTTCACTGCGCCCTGCATGCAGTGCACCGACTGTGGCGCGTGGCTGGCAACACCTCTATGAGATAGAAGCCTCACGGCTCATTCCGACGTGGAGTCGGCAGGGGGGTCTGCCCTGAATGGGCACCAGCAGGACCACTCAGGAGGGGGAACGGGGCAAACTCGATACCCCGTGCAGATCTGGAGACGGCGGCCGCGAGGGGACAAGGAACGCAACCTGTGTACAGTAGTGCCCCTTCCCCTCTCTCACGACGGCTGGAGCCAGCGATGCCTCGCCTCAGCCTCCCCGCCAGATCCAACCTGGGAGACCTTGGCAAGCTCGGTGCTTCTCCCCTGCAGGACGCGACATCAGTCTGCAACGCTGCACTGCACATCGAACGTGGCATCACGGCGCGCCGAGTCAAGAAACGCGTCGGCCCGGCCTCGAGGGGTGGGGGGAAGGAAGCCCGGAGGGCCCAAGTGAGGCGGCCCGATGGCAAACGCGCGAGGGACGATCGGCAGGCGTGCAGCCAGAACGCAGGGCCACTGAGCCTGGGGCCGGGCGGTGAGAGCTGTGGCGTCAGCAGATTGTGGACCTGGCTCCATGCTTACGGGACCCAGCAGGACCACACGACGCTGGCCTCCGTGCTCAGCCGCCTGCCCGCCCGCCTGCCTCGTCCGGCGGGCCCGGGCCTCCCGCCTGCGCGCTCGCCGCCCGCGTGCTCCTCCCTGCCTCCCTCCCCAGAGACGTCCGACGTCGTGTGCTCGTGCACGGCGTGGCTCCCTAGAGGTCTGGAGGAGGAGGAGGAGGAGGAGGAGGAGGAGGAGGAGGAGGAGGAGGAGGAGGAGGAGGACCCCTTCCCGGAGACCCCTCCCCGCGATGCTCCTCGCCCCTCCTCCCCCTCCGCCGACGCAGCCTGTCCTTGGCACGGGCCCCCGCCCTGCTCCCCCAGGGCCGGCGTTTTACATCCCGAGTCTCTCCCTGGAGGTCCCCGGGGCTGGGCAGGGGCTCCCCATTTTTTTGTTTGTCCTCCCACAGCGCAGCAAAAACAGCCAAGGAAAGGTTGCATGCCTGATGTGATCCAGAAAATTGAGGAGGCAAACTCTATACACCGACGCGTTTCCCGGCCCCGCATTGACATTCGCACAGGGAAAGCGGATCTTAGTGTATACAGGATCCTGGTGTACACATTTTGCGTTGTTTCCCGGGAAGACGGGGAAACAAGTATACACGGCACCACCCCGACGTCGACCCCGACCCTGGCAAAATCCTGGGATTGAAAAACAGCCCGCCACTGGTAATGTATACGTTCCAGTTTCCTGAAAATGTGTTGGTCCACCGAACCAGTCTCCAGCGAGCCTTGGGCGTCGGCCCCCAGGGGCCGAACAGGGTCAAACTCGCCCCTGGATCTGAGGCCCAACCCTCCCCTCCAGCGGGCGTGCCGAAGGGGGGGGGGCCGGGGTAGAGAGGGTTGGGTTCGCGCATCACTGCCCGAGGCATGGGCGCGGACGAGGGGAGGCGAACATATTTTTTTTGTGGGGTGGGGGGGGGGCACCGAAATCGTGGAGATGCCACGAAATCGTGGAGATGCCACGACATCGTGGAGATGCCACGACATCGTGGAGATGCCACGAGATCGTGGAGATGCCACGAGATCGTGGAGATGCCACGGCCCCGGCCATGGCATCCGCGCCTCCTCGGCCCTCACACAACACACCCTCCGCCGCCGCCTGGGTGGTGGTTCTCGGGTCCCGGCTCGAGGCTCCGGCGGCCGTGCTGGAGGCCTTCGGGCGCCCGCGGAAAGAAGCTCTCGACGAGGCGCAGCGGCTGGGAGACATCACAAAGGCTGCAAACAAAAACCTCCAGGAGCCGACGAAACCCGTCTTGGGCGCCCCCGACTCCAGCTCTGGGTCGCTTCACTTCGCGCAGTGCACCTCGCGACTCGCGGCGCGCTACTATCGTCGCCCCCATGCGCCCTGGTGCTGCTCCCCCTGGCCCCCTGGGTAAGGGCAGCTCTCCCGACCTCTTTCTTCCTAGACCCCCGACGTCGTGTGTCCGCGTGGACCCCCTGAAATTTCGACCCCTCCCCACGTCGGTTTTCGACGATCCCAGGGCCCTACGAGGCCTCCCAGAGGCCAAACAAAGTAGTGCTTGTAATAACGGTGATAACGCAATATCAAGCATACTAGTAGCACTATTAGTGTCAATAACAAGACTAACGATGCGATAACATATATCCAGGACAAACAATAATACGACACATAATAATGATAACACCGATTAGGCGACCAAACAAAGCATGACTACTCATGCTACCAATCATAACTAAAGACACTAAGAACGACAAGTGGTAGCATGAGTGATAATGATACCATATTCAGAATGACATTGAGCAGAAGGGTAACAGTAATACTACTGACGACGATGATGATGATGATAATGATGATAATGATGCTGATCATGATGATGATGATAATGATGATAATGATGATGATGATGATGATGATGATGATGATGATGATGATGATGATGATGATGATGATGATGAGGATAATAGTGATGATGATGACAACAATGATGAATGTATCCATAGTCAGCTCAATAATCATTACAATATTCATAATGATGATGTTGATGATGATCGCAAAACAGCCAATCCGTCGCGATGTCTTCACGACGCGATGGGGTCTGGGCTGGACACCACCGACCCCAACTCCGCCTTCACCTGATACAGAGGTTCTGCGTGAGGGGGGCGGCCTTCATAGAAGGCGGGGGAGCTCCTGAAAAGGCAAAAGGGCCTCCTTAGAAGCCATCCCGGCTTCGAAGACGTCTTAAAGAAGCCTCAGGACCTTCAAAGAAGGCCTCTGACTCTTAAGAAGCCCCCAACCTTCTCAGAAGACGACCCCCTCGCGTCACCCATCTGTGCGCGCCGCCGATAGCCAGCTCCTCCCTGCACTCCTCCCTCCTCCTCCAGCGCCTCCCTCTACACATCCCCCTCCTCCACCTCCTCCTCCTCCACCTCGTCCCTCCTGAGGAAACCAAAGGGTTCTGATACCGGTACTACCTGCACTTCTACCGAGGTGCGTTCTAACCAGGATCTCGAGGCGAATCCATCGGTGGCGACGAGGGCCTCCCAGGAGGCCCAAGAAGACGAAAACGAGGCGAGGGCAACTGTATAGGTACATTTTCGGAGGCCTGGGCGTGGGCACCAATACCAACACAAGGGGTTGCCTCCACAGGGGGAAGATGATCCTAGACTCCGGCGTTGGTAGTAGTGTTTCGGTCGCCTTGGAAGCTAGAACGTTGCCACCGGCACCGAGATCGGGATCTCCTCCGCTCGCTGGAGGCGCACCACCGATACTGGTGTTGGCCTCAACCTCCAGGCCTGCCACTCTCCCTCCCCCGAGCCCCTCCCCGACCCTCCGGCTCCTCCCCGCCCCCCCACCGGACCGCCGCGCTCCCGCGACAGCTCCGAGAAGCGCAGCGCCTCCCCGCAGTGCCCCACCGCGGCCAGCGCCACCTCGCGGTCGCCCCGGAGCTCCTCCGGGACGTACTGCAGCGCGCGGCCCTTCCTCGCACGAGGGGCAGGCAACAGGGTTATAGGCTGGGCACGTCCTCCTTTGTCTCGGGTCGGGCGAAAGGGGGGGATAGCAAAGGGGGGGGGTGAGAATGAGCTCGCGTAGCCGATTTTCCCGGCGCCTCCCGGCGCCGGAGGCGGCTATGTATCGAGGAATGGGCCTGGCGGCGGAGCCGAAACCAGTTGCATGCAGCAAATCTCGTAAGAGATGGACTGGTTATTCAAAACGATAACTCGAGTTATGTTGGTGGGTGGGTGGGTGGGTTCGCGCAGGCCAAATGACAAGCGTTAGTTGTCTGATGTCGTGTGTGTGTGTGTGTGTGCGCGTGTGCGCGTGTGTGCGTGCGTGCGTGCGCGTGTGGTGGTGGGGACAGGAAAAAGGAGGAGCTGGGGAGGATTTGGGAATTGGAAAGAATTCTGCAAGGGAAAAACGAAGAGTGGGGGAGGATTTTGGAAGTGGAGAGGATCCTACAAAGGAAAAAGGAGAAGTTAGAAAGGGATTTGATAAATGAGTTCCAGGGCTAGACAAGAATATCAAATCCCAGAACGAATTCTGGAATCGCCGGAGCGGCGCAAGAGCCTGCGGGGAAAAACGAGTTGGAGAAGGATTTGGTAAAGGATTCAAGGAGTTAGAAAGGGAATTGATAAAGGATTTCCACAGTTAGACAGGAATTTCGGATTCCAGAAGGAATTCTGGAATTGCCTGCGCGGCGCTGGAGCCAGTAGCGGAATAACGAATTAGAGAGGGGATTTGATACAGGATTTCAGAAATTACAATAGGGATTTGATGAAGGATTCCCTGAGTTAGAAAGGAATTTCGAATCCCAAAGAAAAATCTGGAATTGCCTCTGCGGCAACAACGCCTGCAGGGGAAAAGCGAGTTAGAACAAGGATTTGATAAACAATTTACTGAATTAGATAAAGGTTTGATAAGATAGTTCCAGAGTTTGGAAAGAATTTCGACTCCCAGAAAGAATTCCCGAATTGCCGCGGCGGCAGAGCCAGTAAGGGAAAAGCGGATTAGAGAGGAATTTGATAAAAGGATTGAAGGAGTTAGGAAGGGATTTGGGAAAGGATTTCCGTAGTTAGAATGGAATTTCAAATCCCGGTGCGAATTCTGGAATTGCCCGAACGGCGCCAGCCAGAGCCATCAGGGAAAACGAATTAGAAAGGCATTTGATGAAGGATTTAAAGAATTAGAGGGGGATTTGGTAAAAGGATTTCCAGTTAGGAAGGAATGTCGGATTCCAGGAGAATTTTGGAATTGCCAGAGCGGCGCCGGAGCCGGTAGCAGAAAAACGAATGAGAAAAGGATTTAAGGGAAAAGCGAATTAGAGAGGGATTGGGTAAAGGATTGAAGGAGCTAGAAAGGGATTTGATACAGGATTTCCAGAGGTAGAAAGGAATTTCGAATCCCAGAGAGAACTCTGGAATTGCCCGAGCGGCTCCAGGGCCAGTAAGGGAAAACGAGTTAGGGAGGGATTTGATAAAAGGATTCGAAGAGTTAGAAAGGTATTGGATGAACGATCCCCCAAGAATTCTAAAGACAGTTATGGAATTGCCCGAGCGGCGCCAGATCCAGCAGGGGAGAAACGAATTAAAAAAGGATGTGATAAAGGAATTAAGGAATTAGAAAGGTATTCGATAAAAGGATTTCCCGAGTTAGAAAGGAATTTCGGATTAAAAAGGGAATTCTGGAATTGCGCGAGCGGCGCCAGAGCCAGTAAGGGAAAAACGAAATAGAAGTGGATGGGATACACGATTTAAGGAGTTAGAAAGGGGTTGGATACAGGATATCCAGAATTAGAAAACATCGTTAGAAGGGAATTTCAAATTCCCAAAAGAATTTCGGGAATTGCCCGAGCGGCGCCAAAGCCTTTAGGGGAAAAGCGAATTAAAGAAGGATTCGATCATGAATATATGGAATTAGAAAGGGATTCGATACCAAATTTAAGGCGTTAGACAGGCATTTCGAATCCCACAGAGAAATCTGGAATTGCCTCTGCGGCGCCAGAACCCAGGAGAAGAATAATGAGAAAGATATTTGATAAAGGATTTCCAGAGATAGAAACATTTCGGCCTCCGGGGAAAAAAAAACACACGGAAATGCCAGAGCGGTGCCAGAGCCAGTGAGGAAAAAAACGAGTTATACATATTAACAAGTAGACAAGAATTTGGGAAAATGATCTCCAGAGTTAGATATGAATTTCGGATGCCAGGGAAAGGTCTGGAATTGCCGGAGCGGCGCCAGAGCCGATAGGGGAGGAAAGAATTCGAAACATATGTGATAAAGGAGTCAAGGAATTAGGAAGGGATTCGGCAAAGGGTTTCCAAAGTTAGAAAGTTCGAATCTCGGTGAGAAATTCTGGAATTCCCCGAGCGGCGCCAGAGAGGGAATTGATGCGGGATCGAAGGAGTTCGACCCGGATTTGATAGTGGATTTCCACATTTAGAATAGAAGTTCGAACCCCAAGGGGAATTCTGGAATTGTCCGAGCGGCACCAAGGCCAGTCGGGGAAAAAACGAATTAGAGAGGGATTTGCTGAAAAGGGATGAACGGAATTAGAAAGGTGCCTGATACAACATGTCCAACGTTCGAAAGGAATTTCGGATTCCGATGAGAAATCTGGAATTGCCTGTGCGGCGCCAGAGCCCGAAGGGGAAGAACGAATTAGAGAAAGACTTCTTAAAAAGGATTTAAGGAGTTAGCAAAGGATTTGATAGAAGGATTTCCAGAATTAGAATAGAATTTCGGAATCCAAAGAGAATTCTGGAATTGCCCGAGCGGCGCCAGAGCCAGTAAGGGAAAACGCGTGAGGGAGGGAATTGGTAAAGCATTTAAAGAATTAGAAAGGGATTAGACACAGGATTTCCAATAGTTAGACAAGAATTTCGGATTCCATAGAGAATTTTGGAATTGCCCGAGCGGCGCCAGAGCCTGTAAGGGAAAAGCGAATTAAAGAAGGATTTGATAGAAGGACTAATACAATGTCCCAGCTGATGGCAATCGCCCATCGCCCTCCAAAGGCAACGGATTCTTCGGAACTCTCGGATTACCAACGCAATGCCCTTTTCAATTCGGCTCTCAGCAGGTGGCAGCCCCAATGCAGTTGCCCCCATCGGGCATTCCCAAGCCACCCTTTTTGTCTAAACCAAAGACGACCCCCAACACAAAGGCCGCCTATCGCCGCAATTCCTTTTTTTCTTTCAGAATCCCAACGCAATGTTTGTCCTAACTTTACGTTTCCACCCAACGGAGGACAGTTCCAATGCAATGCCCTCCCCCGCGCGACCCCCCCGCCCCCCTTGCCCCCCCCCCCTCTCCAAGAGCCAACAATTCCTTAACACTTTGACGCCCAATGACATGCCCCAACTGATGACACATGCCCTTCCCCTTCCAAAAGCCACAATTTCTTCTGAACTCTCGAAACGCCAAAACAATGCGTTTCCTAACTCGACTTTTTTTCAGCAGGTGGCAGCCCCCATGCAGTTGCCTCCATCGGGCATTCCCAAGCCCCCCCCCCTTACCAAACCAGAGATGCCCCCCAAAACAAGGGCCGCCCATCGCCACAATTCCTTCTTAACTCTCGGAATCCCAACATACTGTTTATCCTCAATTCGACGTTTCCTCCCAACTGAGGACAGTTCCTATGCAATGCCCTCCCCCGCGCGACCCCCCCTCTGCCCCCCTTCCAAAAGCCACAATTCAGTGTTAACTCTTGGGATCCCAGTGCAATGCCCCAACTGATGACAACTGCCCCTCCCCCCTCCCCCCCCCCCACCCTCCAAACGCCGCAATTGCTTTTTAACTCTCGGAAAACCATGCAATCCATTTCCTAACTCGCTTTTCAGCAGGTGGCAACACCGATGAATCTGCCTCCGTCGCGCATTCCCAAGCCACCCGTTTGTCTAAACCAGGGATGGCCCCCGAGGGAGGGGCCGCCGATCGCCACAATTCCTCCTTAACTCCCGGAATACTAACGCAATGTTTGTCCTAACTCGACGTTTCCTCCCAACTGAGGAAGGTCTCAATGCAATGCCCTCCCCCGCGCGACCCCCCCGCCCCCCTTGCCCCCTCCAAAAGCAACAGTTGCGTCTCAACTCCTGGAAGCCCAATGCAATGCCCCAACTGATGACAATTGCCCCTCCCCCCTCCAACAGCCACAAATTCTCCTTTCGGAATGCCAATACAATGCTTTTGCGAACTTGACTTTCAGCAGGCAGTTGCCTCCATCACGCATTCCCAAGCCACCCTTTGGTCTAAACCAGAAATGACCCCGAAAACAGCGGCCGCCAATCGCCACAATTCCTTTTTAATTCTCGGAATCCCAACACAATGTTTGTCCTAATTCGACGTTTCCTCCCAGCTGAGGACAGTTCCAAGGCAATGCCCCCCCCGAGCGATCCCCCCCCCCTTTGCCCCCCCTCCAAAAGCCACGATTCCTTCTTAACGCTTGGAAGCCCAATGCAATGTCCCAACTGATGACAATTGCCCCTCCCCCTCCAAAAGCCATATTTTTCTTAACTCTCGAAAAACCTATAAATCCATTTCCTAACTCGACTTTCAGCAGGTGGCAGCCCCAATGCAGCTGCCTCCATCGCGCATTCCCAAGCCACCCTTTTTGTCTAAACCAATGATGCCCCCCAAAACAAGGGCCGCCCATCGCCACAATTCCTTCTTAACTCTCGGAATCCAAACACAATGTTTGTCCTAACCCGGCGTCTCCTCCCAACTGAGGACAAAGCCAATGCAATGCCCTCCCCCGCGCGATCCCCCCACCCCCGCTGCCCCCCTCCAAAAACCATAATTCCCTCTTAACTCTTGGAAGCCCAACACAATGCCCCAACTGATGATACTTGTCCATCCCCTTCCAAAAGCCACAATTTCTTCTCAACTCTCGAAATACCAATGCAACGCCATTACTAACTCGACTTTCAGCCGGTGGCAGTCCCAAAGCAGTTGCCTCCATCAAGGATTCCCACGCCACCCT